TAAGGCATATGACCGGTCTGCACCTACTTATGGTGAGGCTGGTCAACCTGAACTTTCGGCATACACAAATAACTGAGTCACCTCAACTTATGCGGGGTCCAGCCTTTGCCTGAACAAACGATGAAAGGCATATGACCAGGACACCCCAAGTTATGATGTGCCTAGCCAGCCCACACGATGCCATATAGCGTAAAACTAGGCTACTCAACTTATGAGTAGTCTAGCCCGCCTAAACAAGCAACATGTGCGTGTGACCGAATAACCCGCAACTTATGCGTTCGCCCAGCCTCCGCAACACAACTGCATTCAATAAGTAAGATCACACGTTCTTTCTGTCTTCAGACGAGTAGTCAGGTCACCTCACTATATGAGGATCCTCTATCCAAACATCAACTTATGTTTAGAAAGAAAAATAGCCAAACTTTATATTATCTCTATGCCCTTTGTATTATCAGGGGCATAGGACCAACTACCAAACTTATGGATGAGTCAACCTGCCCAAAGTTACCACTCAATTTTATACTTTTAATCTTATTTTCTCCTCTGCTTTATCCGCTACCAGCTTATATGGGTAGATCTCCCAACTTATGATGCCTAACCTACCAATGATATACTTAATATATATATAATTATATCATATTGTATACTCAGGTTCCAGTTATGTTCGCGGCTCATGACTTGGTCACACCAACCTATGGTGTGACTAGCCTGCCAAAACAAATAAACATAAGGCATAGGACTGATCCACACAAACTTTTGGTGTGGTCAGTTTCTTCCTAGACAATGGACATAAGGTGTATAACTGGGCTGCACCAACTTATGGTGAGGTTGATCAGCTTGAACATTTGGCATACACAAACGACCTCAACTTATGAGGGGTCTAGCCTTTGTCTGAACAAATGACGAAAGACATATAACTAGACAACACCAACTTATGGTGTGGCTAGTCAGCCCATACAATGACATATAGCGTAGAAGTTGTAGAACTAAGTTACTCAACTTATGAGGAGTCTAGCCCCGCCTAGACAAGCTACAATTGCGTGTGACCGAATAGCCCGCAACTTATGCGTTCACCCAACCTCCGCAATACAACAACGAATAGGGTCACATTTTCATTTTGTTTGAATTCACTTAAGTAATTTGAATTTTTCATATACACTTGTTAATTTAACCTTTTCAGATTGTATCCTGAAATAAAAGTGGTCAAAAGTAATAGCTTTCACATTCATACTTTCATTCACGTATATAGAGAGTAGTACAGTTTAGGGGATAGGATCACACGCATAAAACGAGCATTATACCTGAGTGTTATCTGCCTCCAGAACCCCGCCTGCCCTTCGGCAGAGCTCCCACAATTGGTGCGTGGACCTCCCACAAGGTCTTGTTGCAGTCCTATGGGTTGCAATCCCGCCTGCCGCCTTCCTCTCGTAACCTTAGACTAGACTTAGAGTAAGAAAGGCAGAAGAAGATAAGTCAGATGCTCGAGATCCAAGAGAGGGTCAACTCAATTCATGTGAGAGGGCCTTGTAATCTTCAATCGCCTGAGGGCCCCGCAATGATGGCCAAAAGAATGCAGTGAAGTCGGCTGAATCACGCCCAAAATGCAAATAGCAACCTCCTGACAGTCTCTCAAGTCGCAGCAGTAACCGGTCCGTAAATGCCCGATCACACTCCCAAATCGTCTCACTCCAACCTCTGACTAGGACACGACTACGTAGCCTAAAAATTGTTGCGTTTGAATAGAGCCCAGTCCCGTGCTTAAAGCAAAAATGCAGCAAACTCCGCAGAAAACGTGATATACTCCGTAATCATCCATAACAATAGCGCAATAGATATGCACAGTGTGATGCTCACCAGAAACAGTAAGTCACAATGTTGTGTTTTTAACAATACACGGTGTCCATGACGTCGCAGAAATAACCCGGCAAAGGCTTAACAATAGTAACGCCAGTAAGACTGCAGATACGCAAACAACAAGAAAACTCAGTGGTGCTGCAGGGCGCCGTAATACTGCAGATCGACAGCCCCGACCCTTTGTGACAGCAACAGTTCCCTCAATAACAACCCGGACTCGTGACTATAGTTGCTGCAATTACCGGAACTCGACTGCAAAGCTTTGCCGATGTGGCAATCCGTAGTTTTGGGAACAACCCGCTCTTGTAACCACCCGTATCGGTTAGGAAGGTTAATCAGCAGCAGTAGGCCTGTGGCAACCAGCAATCGACACGAATGCCCCCCCCTCTTTCAGCCCAGCGCACTTGGAGATTTCAGCAACAACTCAAGTACACCCATGCAATAATAGCTGTGTTTGACCAACTGTAATGGTAGTGGTCTGCTTCCACAACAGCAGAAGAATAGTGGCTATAGCAGTTTTAGACAAGGCAAAATTGCAATTGCAGTGTCGTCTAGAATGTTGGTGTTGCTGAAAAAACTCCGATCTTGCTTTGCTTAGTCCACTGTCTTCTGATCTCGGGCCAGCATGCTCACCCTCAAGCTTCTTACAACGGATTGTCGGTGGACAATCCGTCTTCGCACAAGTGGGGCCTTGCTTCTCGAGTCCTTCGACGTCGTGAGTCCTAAGCACTCTCAGGCTGTTACGTGGTTGTTCTCCTTATCACGTAAACGAGGTAAGCATCTCCTCCTTGTCAAACCTCGTCGAACAGTCGCAAGTTACTATTACTGAGTTTCCCCGTTTGAATCTCCTCAGGCCTTTCCCTGCTTAGTCACAGTTTATTGTCGCTTGACCCCAGCGGACATGCTCACACTCGAACCTCTCCCTGTAGATCATGGTTGGCAGCCATTGTAATAGGTAAGCACCTCTCTCTCTCTCTCTCTCTCTCTCTCTCTCTCTCTCTCTCTCTCTCTCTCTCTCTCTCTCTCTCTCTCTCTCTCTCTCTCTCTCTCTTGCCTATTTCACTGCCAGGAAGCAATAAAAATAACAAAAATAACAAAACTATGTGAACCCATACAAACTACAGTTCGGCTCAATACAGTCAAAATGCAGACACATTATACTCGGGATAAGATGATTGGCTCCGTTGCAGCTCGCTTCGGTGTCCCTGATCCCTTGGCAAGTCCCCACTCACTCTCGTTTTCTCTCTTGATCTAGGACGTATGAAAAAGGGACTATGCTTATTTGTTTGGCTGAGTTAGTTTGTTTTGTTGCGTATCGCGTGATTGAGTTAGGATGTCATAGTCGACTGACGCTGAATCGCACGTGGGAGATCAGCACCCCAGAGTGACGGTTCGCGTACGGGTCCAAGCTAGGCGTGGACCGCGCGTACCCCCTATGCTACAGCATACGAGAATTTCCTCGGCTGGGCCACCTCCATGATTGCATGTAAAAGCTTCCGCGTGTGGTTCAGTAACTCGACGGGGATACGCCCACCCAAGGGATGGTGACAGCTCCCACGGGTGGAGGTGAGTTGTACCTCGCGAGACCCTGTTCTGTCGTAGGGACTCGATGAAGGTATATCTGGCGCACTCGGCCGGAGCGGCTTTGCCACTTCCCTTTTCATGAAGCGGTTTGCGAGTTCTGTTAATCCTGTGTGACGTGGCCGGAAAGGTCCCCCTAGCGGGGACTGTGCGCTAGACAGGTGACGCCGTTGCCGGGGATCTCGGCTGCCTACCGAGGTCCATAGTGAACGGACTTGGGCTTAGTGCAAAACGATGATCCAGGCAAAACGACACTTTTTGTGATTACGGACATGATATAGTGTGTTTTTGACGTGAGAGAGTCATTGGATTGGAGGCAGTTCGCTAGGCGGATGCTGAGATTGCGGCCTCAGCCGATTGATCGACAAGGTAGGCCCATGCGGTTTGATAGGGCTAACCTGGATGAGTTCCTTGAGATTTTCATCATTTTTGGGGATGGGCAAAGATGGACTGAGGCACAGAGGGTTAGGCAGGTTCGACATTAGATTGTCCCGGAGCTTAGACGTGAGGTGAGTACCATATCATACACAACGCAGACTTGGGCGGAGCTTCTAGTGACACTTAGAGGGGCATTCACTACAGGGAGGCGACGCAGGTTGCACAGAGAGGTTAGGGACTACATTCCAGAGCTCAGGACACGTCAACGGGCACAACTAGAGAGGGTTGAGAGTAATGAGAGGCGATCGCGAGAGAGGCAGAGAGAGAGTGAGCAGCCAGGGATCCCACGCAGGCCTAGGATAGGCAGGCGTCGAGGACGTCAGGACCGAGGGGATGATCTAGAGGAGAGAGATCAGGTGCTCACTGATGATATTGGAAAGGCCCTCCCGACAGATGATGTGGGGAAGGAGGCCTTACCAGTAGGGTCTTAGAGACGAGGTGACTCATCTATCCTTGAGATTGGGACATCGCCAATACCAAAGGCATGTCAGGATGAGATAGGGATTGGAGACTGCGATCCTGGAATTGCGCCTGGGACAGATGGGACTACTCAGCCTATGCTCAGACAGGATGGGGAGGAGACTTCCCTACAGCTTGTGTTGACGACTACTTCGGCCAACCTACGAAGATTGATACCACGGAGAGAGTGGTCTCCGATACTGCATCGGAGGATAGGAGGGATAGGCCTTATCGGTGGAGAGACACACGGGACATGGCATTAGATCTCCCACAGGGGGAACTACAACTTATGATAGGGTCTGCCACCATAGAGCCGATGCAGGAGTACGAGGGGCCTCAGCCAGAGCAGCCGCGAGAGACAACGTCGATGCACGGTGAGCCAGGGTATGATGGACAGGAGGACCAGCCTCAGCCAGAGCCAGGGATGGAGGATGGTGAGAGAGGTGAGATGAGGCCTTTAGCATTGGAAGGGTTGCCATTAATGAATGAGAGTCGATTGGCTGAGCAGCCAAATGAGCCTGAGGGTTCATTGACTGCCCAGCTATATGATGTGGAGTCTCCTAGGAGCCAGATGTAACAAAAGGTATCCCAGTCTTCGGTCATGGATATAGAGACATAGCAGGTTGAGGCCGAGGTTTTGGGGCTAGATAGGGAGGATCCTACAGAGGGCATACAAACCCAGCGAGTGGGATCATCACCTCTAGATTTTGGAAATACTCCTCAACGGGATGGTGATCGGAGTGAGGCCAGCATGAGGGGTCACGTTGAGGCAGGCCCGAAGCGTACCCCGGATGCATCCATGACTTATGAGCAGGAGAGCTTGCCGGAGTCTCAGGGGCCGGTAGATCACGAGCCTGTCAGGAGGGAAGCGTGGCTAGTCGAGGAGATGGGACGGATGCCATCATTACATTTTTCGGGTTGGCTGGCTTTTGAGCGACTAGGCCAGGCCACAAGACCTCACTTGTCGGAGGATCGGCCCACTGGTGGGCTTAGAGTATTGTATGACGACCTGACCCTACAGAGGACCAATATTGGTAGTGGCCTCACAGCAGCGCGAGAGGCGACAAAGCAGGTGAGAGATTACACGAGGAGAGTTGCCATCTGATCCTTTGAGTTGAGTCGCGTTAGGCAGACAGAGCACGATGCACTGAGAGAGGTGGTGAGTGACCTCCGTACGATTGTTGAGGGAAGGGAGGCCCAAACTCTAGAGGAGGCCGAGGCGGTCCTCAGGATTCAAGAGAGAGAGGCGAGTGATTGGAGGGCCCAGATCCAGAGGGTACTTTGGGAGTATGAGCCACCTGCAGATGCGACGGACAGAGATAGGCTTGAGCGCAGGGTTGTCCTAGAGACTGTGAGATCATCTCAGTTGGAAAGCTAGACCTGATTTCTCGGGTGCGCTAATTACTGAGTTCGATCTGACGGACGATGTTACTCAGTCCTTGGTGGAAGCCTATCGCGAGGACCAGTTTATGTCTGAGATCATACGCAGATTGCAGGCGAAGGACAAGAAGACCTCTGCCGAGTTTGAGTTGGTCAATGGCTTGTTGTTCCTTGAGAAGGCAGGGAATAAGCGTTTGTGTGTCCCGAATAGCGAGTTTTGCGCAGTTTGTTTTTAGGAGAATGTCATGATGCCACCGATCATTTTGGGTACAAAAAGACCGCAGCTAATCTGCTGCAGCGATTCTGGTGGCCCACGGTGATGAGAGATGCTCAGCTTTACGTGGAAACGTGTCAAGTTTGCCAGAGAAACAAGCCACGTACACAGGCCCCTCTTGGGCTCTTGAAGCCGCTTCCGATTCCGGAAAGGCCTGGTGAGAGTCTGTCCATGGACTTCATGGATACTCTGATCACCAGCAAGAGTGGGATGCGACACATCTTTGTCATTGTGGATAGATTTAGCAAGTATGCTAGGTTAGTGGCAATGCCGGAAACAACAAGAACAGAGTATATGATCAGAATGTTCAAAGAAAACTTGGTTCGGGACTTTGGTTTACCGAAGTCTATTATAAGTGACAGGGATGTCCGGTTTACCAGTGAGTTGTGGAAGGTCGCTGCTGCAAAGCAGGGAACTCAGTTGCAGATGACTTCTGGGAATCACCCAGAGGCCAACGGTCAGGCCGAGCAATTGAACCGCATTGTACAACACCTGTTGAGGCATTACATCAAGCCCAACCAGGTGGACTGGGATAAGAAGCTTGCTCTCATCGCCAGCTTGTACAACAACGCTGTACACAGCGCCACCGGGGTGAGCCCAAACAACTTACTGCTAACATTTAAGCCTAGACTGCCCCTAGACTTTCTTCTCCCTTAGAATCAATCCACTGCTGCACCAGGTACCTTAGAATTTGCTTACCGCTATGAGCAGAAGATGGAGCAGGCTGCAATGATAGAGTCTGAAAATAGACATCGCCGACCTTCTACATTTCAGGTTGGGGATAGGGTCTGGGTTAAGTCTTCAGAAATGGGACAGGAGCACGGGATCTCCCGCAAACTCATGCCCCAGTACTTTGGACCCTGGGAAGTCTTGGACATCGTGGGGATAGATCCGGATGGGCCATTTTATGTTATCCAGATCCCTGGTCATCTCCATACTTACCCTGTCTTTCACGCCTCCAAGCTAGCACCTTTCAAAGAGACTAATCAGTTTCCTTCTCGTCGCTCAATGCTGCCCCCAACCATGGACGAAGAAGTGGACATTGATGACATCGTGGATCACAGGGAGCTGCCAGTTCAGAGACCTACAGGCAGGGGACGTCCTCCGAAACCGAAGCTGCAGTACCGCGTTCGGTTCCTACATCATACTGAAGGAGGACCGCTGGTTCACGAGGGAAGAACTCATGCAGACCGCTCCTCAAGTTGTATCTCAATATGAGAAATCTCTGCAGAAAGGAAAGCGCCCGATGGTCGAAGATTGAGCTTCTCAGAGGACTGTTGAACTAAGGAGGAGGGAATGTGAGGCCACTGCCTCTATGAGCCTCTTTCGGCCCCTCTTATACAGCACGTCGGCCGCCCTAAGTGAAGGCAGGCCCGACGAGGCCTTCAGGGCCTTATTTCGGCCTCTGCGCAACTAAGGAAATTCAGGCAGTTGCGCAGCGCCAGTTGGTTGAAGAAACCCAGGCCCTGGGCCGTTTGTGTGAATGAATGGAAAGCAGGCCCTGGGCTGGATACGGGTACTGGGCCACACACATGCCAAGGGCAGTTGGGCACATGCAACTACCGCAGGCCCCGGGCCTGTGCTCGATCGTACTGGGCCTCAGGCTACCGGGGCCTACTGGAAGCTTCCTGGGACTGGACGCAGGCAGGCCACTTCGATATAGCAAAGGGCCTGCCTCCTCATTCGGCATTCGGGTGCTGGCTGCATGTTGCACAAGCGCTGCTGCGCTATTTGCTGTCTGGCGCCTACGCTCTCACGGGCGAGCAGGGTAGGAGCACACAGCCATATCTGAGTTGCGCTGTTGTAAGCTGGGTGAAGCGCAGGGTGGTCCTTGGGTGCTAGTGGCATCTGTGTGTTGGGGAACGAGGTTGTGAGTGTGGCGAGAGACATACCTGGTGTTGGAAGCGTGCGACATTGGTCGCCATATGCTCGTACTTCGGGAATGTTGTTGACGTCATCTTTCGGTATCATAGTATAGGCTAGATAGGATCTGCCACATGTAGTCTGGGCGCCGAGCGCCAGATAGGATATCAACTCTGGTTCTTTGTTGATGATGATGGGACTATTTCAGCATTGTCAATTATGAACTCTTGGTGTGTTCTTATTTGGTGAATCTCGTGATGCGATTCTGCTGTTGGTTCGA